TGCCTTCAACTCTAGCTCCTCTCCCACCTAACACTTATCTACTGCTGATGATTATCTGCTTACACATAGCATAAGCAGAATAAAAGAATAAAAGAGGGTCAGCTCATAGCTGAGTGACATAATCATAGCATCGTGAGTTTATAACAGAGCATACCCCTACCATACATCTAGCAAACAAGCCAAAGCACTAGGATCAGACCTCAGGCATCCGACATCCCAATAGGCAAAAGACTTAACCACCTTGACTTATGCATATGCATCTTATCATGTTTTACTTATAGGCGCCTGGCTACTCCCATGATAATAACTCTCCCGGGAAACATACCCCACATCCCGTCGGATGTAGTCATACATACCCCAACATCCCGTCGGATGTGGTCATACATACCCCACACCACTATGGGTGTAGTCATACCCCGACACCGCTCTGGGTGTGGTCATATCTCATAAGAATTCTTCAGTCACCACCACATGAGAGGTGTGACTATCATACATATCATAATAGAGTAATAGCACAGGGAGCCCTAATTACTATGTAGTTGACCGTGAGACCACAACACTCATATTTGGTATCCTTATACATGATTCATATCTCATCTTGCTTAATCATAATTTGTTACTTGCACATGTACCTGACCTGACCATAATTGGCTCAACATAGGTAAACCGTGAGTTGTATAGTTGCACTTCCTCGAGATAAACCCTCGTGCAAGTCATCCTCCTTAAAACATCATAATATCACTCTGGGAAGTTTATTTCCCCCACTTGTGAATCCAAATACAACCACAATATCACAGCATGTCAAAACACCTGATCGAACAACCATGAAGTCATATCAACAGTTAAGCCACAAATGGCAACATGTATGCAATCATCAACATAAACAAGGTCCATATCGATTAGAGCAAGTCAATAATATCATACAGCAGTCCAGGGTTCAACATATAGCACAAAATTTCATACACCCCTAATCATGCCATTCTAGTTCACCTAGGTCAATTCTAAGCATCAATATAATTATCGTGATACGACAAACCCGGTATGCCGTGCTAATCCCTCACCAGTTCTGGTCGTTCAAACACCGGTTTAACCTTCCCGTACTAAAACGCCAATTTCACGAACGAAACCCGAATTAAAATCTGAGACCGTCCTAATATCCCCTGCAGTATCCCCGCCAATATTAGTTCTAGGTTCCGGGTCAAATTCTTGATAAAAACACATCAAACCCTGGCCAGAGCTAAATTCAGCAATTTGGACCCTGGCCTACATAATTGCCGAAATTCAAGGATTAGAACTAGAGGATTGATTACCTCGCTGCAAGAAGCTCGTATATGAAATTTGGGCTCAATCCGGTTTCCGGATACTCCGAAACCCTAATTTGGCTTATCGGGAATTCAAGAAATTCCTGAACCAAAAACTCGTTTTAAAGCTCTAAATCGATAAATCACGATGTATAGAGGAATTAGGCATTACTTACTGGATTTTTGGATCACTAGGGCTCAAGATTGGACCTTTGGAATTTTTGGCCGAGCGCTACGTGTGTGCTCTGTTTCTCTGGCTTTCTCTCGTCCAAATAAATGAAACAGAAGAAGATGATGAGAAAGGAAATAGACTGGGGATTTATATAAGTGGCAGCTTGATGTTATATATATATATATATATATATATATATATAATATTAAAACGTATACTTATCGGATCGATCGATATTCCGATTTTCGCCGAAATACTATCAAAATGCTCGATTTCAAATCGCGGACTTTCTAGCGATTGAAATATGGATTTAGCCGAAATGGGATGTTACAATTCTCCCCTCCTTAAAAGATTTTGTCCTCGAAATCTAACCTTGAGTCATACCTTAAGTCCGCTTAAGGTATACTTATATATAATATATTTATGTAACACCTTAGGTGAATCCCACATCGACAAAGCACGGGAGAGATCCATGGTTCATAAGTAAGAAACCGACCTTAACTCACAAGACGCGTTTTGGGGTGTAATGGAGGAGTTCTTGTGAGAACTCCGAAGTTAAACGTGCTCGGAGTACAACAAAGATGGGTGACCTTATGGGAAGTCACCCTGAATTGCACTCCAAGTCGAAATCCGTGCGGGTGGAGAGGCCCAAAGCGGACAGTATCTTCATCGGGAAAAGGTCGGGATGTTACAAGTAGTATCATAGCCTCTCCGCGTCCCTCTTGAACGATGGTGGGGCAAACTCCAACGAGGGCGTTGAGTCCCGAGGGGGGTGTATGTAACACCTTAGGCGAATCCCACATCGACAAAGCACGGGAGAGATCCATGGTTCATAAGTAAGAAACTGGCCTTAACTGACAAGACGCGTTTTGGGGTATAATGGAGGAGTTCTTGTGAGAACTCCGAAGTTAAACGTGCTCAGAGTACAACAAGGATGGGTAACCTTATGGGAAGTCACCCTGAATTGCACTCCAAGTCGAAATCCGTGCGGGTGGAGAGGCGCAAAGCGGACAGTATCTTCGTCGAGAAAAGGTCGGGATGTTACAGTATCATCCCAACTTGGTGAGCTTAAGCCAATGATCTTCAAGGCCGTGGAAACACTTGGCTCGATTATAGGTGATCGCGATGGTGACAACAGCAAACAGGCTGCTTTGATCAAGGAGATCGGAAAGTTGAAGGGATCACTCGTGAACAGGTACTTGATTGTGCTATGGCTTTAGTGGACAACGATCCAAAGACTCGACTTTTCTATGCCCTTGAAAGCGATGAAGACCGGTGCTACTTCATCAAGAACTTGCTCCGTTGAGCTTGGTGGTGTAGGATTTACTTGGTAGTCTATTTTTCATAACACATGTGGGATGTATGTGAAACTTTGTTTTTTTGTGCAAGGTTAGATCATACTCTATTTAGCCATTGCAAGTGTTTGGTTGTGGAAACATGATCATTTTGCAGAAGTTTTGCTTTCATCCCAACATGTGTTAGTTACAAGGGTTAGAATTATGGTTTCTGATATAACTGGTTGTAACTGAACAAATGAATAAGTTATGCAATTTATGAATATGCTCTTGTTTATGTGATGATGTACTTGCTGTCATTTATTTCTCAATCAAGCTTAATGCCCAGCAGTTAGTCATTTGTATCCAAGCTGAAAAAAGGTTGCAACAGCTTCATGTGAGAATGGATTTGTTTGTTTGGATGCCTCAAGTTCCTGGAAACTTATGTCTCCTGCAGACCATAGGTTCTGTCCATTTATGCCATTAAGCTCGGCTAGAAACAACAAGAACAAAGCAGTCTGTATATTGAAGGAAATGTTGTTTTCATTCAACACAAAAAGAGGCAATACATGTTAATTGATTCCTTTCATAACTCGGCTAGAAACAACATGAGCTACAACATGTGCTACTTCTAATCACTTCCTACTTGTACCCTCTAAATCTAGACGTTCTAACTTCTGCTTGATCAGTTCCAGCTCAATAAACAAGTCAGTCTGTTCTTGTGTTCTAGCTCCATCTTTCATTAATCTCCCCAACAAACTGCGAAGCTGTCTATTTTCAGCTTCTAACCTTGAAACCTTTCCAGATAGCGAAGCCGTGGCTTTGAATACTGGAACTCTAATGTCATACCACTCAAAGTAATCACACGCCTTGTTATTCTCTAAGCGGCTGAACAATGGGCAGCCAAAAAACCTACGATTCGGATTGCCAGAGGTACGTGAAATTCTTCTAGCCGCTCTTAGTCCGCAATCACATAGCACTACTTCCTCATCATAATGGAATGGATCCGAAGCTATTATCTCCTTTCCTCTACTAGCCATGAGTTGTTTGGAATTGGAAATTGGATTTTCTTCTGTCTTAAAAGGAGAAATCAGCATCCACATCATAAATCCAGAATCCAGATGGGAAGAGAATGATGGAAGGGAGGCGACGTACCTGTTGCCGAACAGGGGAGTACAACAGCGAACGGACAATGAAGAATCCCCCTGCTTTCTTGTGCCCTCTACAGATCAAAGTGGTTGGTTCGGTCTTCCTTCGTGGCTGCTAACGATAAAGAAGGGTTGAAGAAGGGAAACAATAACAACGGCAGCCCTGGCTTTTGATATGTTGAAGAAGGGCAATAAGGTGAGTGCAGTTTTTTTATTCAAAAACCCAAACCAATAAATCCATGATCAAAATGAGTGAACAAACAAAGGTTTTTTTTCCAAATCCCAAATAAAACCTTAGGTTTTGAAATCCCACACTATAGGAAAAAACCTCATTTTCAAATCCTTGAAGCAAATGACCCCTTAGTCATTGCAGTTTAATCTCCCATGCATGCACAATTCACAGAACCCACTTAACATCCATTTACCCCACTTTTTCAACTATTTCCTACGAGTTTGTCATACGAATTTGACGTAGCTATCTTACCACACATATCATTCCCTCCTCATGCATAACCAATACAAATCAGAACTGATTGACTAAACCTAGTCATGGCGTGCTTAAGGACACAAGTTATCAGTGGCAGATCCAGAACAAGTTAGAGCATTGGGCCGTATTTAAAAAGCTTTGAAGAGGGTTGGACCGTAATCCTATAAACATTAAAATATATACCCAAAATCAGAAATTTACAAGTACTATACGAACTTTGGATCCGAGGAGGGCTGGACCATGGCTCTCCTAGATCCGCCTTTCAAGTTATCTTAGCTAGATGCTTACCTCGACCACTTACTGACCAATTCTACATTTCTTGGGTTGAACGTATAATCAGAATTCGGGATGTTACAAGGGCCTAAAAAAAATTGGTAGGAGGGCCAATCATTTAAATTTCAAAGTTAGTAGACTTATTGTTAGTCAAGGAAAAATCGAGGGGCGTGTTTGGTCAATAATCCAAAATTAAAATTAGCCGGTGACTCTCTCTCTCTCTCTGGCTGTCCCTCCCAGTTCTCCCGTCTCTCAACCAAAAACCAATTTGATTGCTTCGTGGAAGATCAACACATCACATTCAATTAGAACCAGAAGTAGATAGGGTTTTTGGAGAGCGCTGAAATGTATAGTGGTTTGACATTCGCAGCGGTAGCAGCCTCGCAATCGGCAACCCCTCTCTGCTTCTCCAATCATGCGTTCGTCCGCCAGCAGTTTCCTTCTCCGTCAAGCACTAGAAACGGCAAGAGCTCTACGAAGGGTTACAATTGCGGCTCAAGGAACTCCGTATCAGTAAAGGCCCTGAACAGCTCATCCAGGTCAAGTATTACGAATAGACGGACTCTGAGCAGCAACTGGGATACTGTGGATTTCTCCTCTGGCGCCGCTACGGCTCCCCGGATGCCGAGATTCGAGGAACTTGATACTACCAACATGCTCCTCCGTCAGAGAATCGTTTTTCTGGGCTCTGAGGTCTTTGCTCTTACCTCCTTCGATTTCATTGGAGCGGCGCTGACAAATTTTTCTTCTTTTATATCTAGGAATTGAATGGAGGTTTGCGCTTTCGTTGTTTGTTCTTGAGTACTGTCTTGTTATTATTCGGTGTTGGAACTGAATCTTTGTTTCTTTAGCTTAGAGATCAGCAGACTGGTAATGTCATAGTAGCCGTTCCTATTGGTCGGGTGCGTGGTGGCGTTAGAAGTTGGTGGGCGTCTAGCTAATTGGTTTTGTGCTTGTGGGTTGGGTTATCTTTGTGATTTCAACTTTTAGAGCGTGCCATATGAGTTTCCACTTGCTAGTTATTTGAATTTAGTACATCCAGGGCTACTAAGTGTTCCATTAATGGTTCTCCATCCAACACCATTGAGTTTAATCGGAGATGGTTTTTCACAACTATTCTTCGCCTTGATATCATCTCTTCATTGGATGCATAGAATTCTCTCATTTAATTACAATTGTTAATTAGTATCAGTATGCCAGCTGAATACATGTCTTCTATGTTCCAGAAGGGCACATCACTTGTAGCTTTTGGCATCTATGTTGTAGCTGTTGGTTCGAATCTAAGTTTCCCTTTCACAGCCCAGTTGCTTGTGGTTGAGAATTGTCATCGCATTTTATTGATGAAATGGCTGTCTGTGAATTTAATCACTCAAGTTAATCCATGCTAGAACGCTTGTAAACTAATCCTACTTGATAATATTTATTAAGAATTAAGGGGAGGTTAACGGGAAAAGAACACTAATTCTCATTTGTGTCGGACAGGTTGATGACATGTCAGCTGATTTTATTATAAGCCAACTCTTATTTCTTGATGCTGAAGATCCAACAAAAGACATCAGGATGTTTATCAACTCACCTGGTGGTTCTGTCACTGCTGGTATGTCCTTGAATTCTTTTACGCCGTCGACAAAATGTTTGTTGCATCTCTGCAGACATATAGAGTTGAGAGTTTTACAGAATTGGGGTCAGTGGATAAGAAATGCATTGTTTTCCATTTATCGACAAGGCATATATTTAAAAGTATGTTCTTTGTTGTCTGCTAGAGGGGGGGGGGGGGGGGGGGGGGGGGGGGAATCTCTGTGGAAGGTACGGTACATCTAACTTCATCATTTTGTCTTTCACAAAGACTGAAAATTTGTAGAAATTAGCTAATCGGTCAGCAAGTTGTTGCATTAACTAAACTGTGCATGTATAGCTTGGGAACTGACTGAGAGGATTTCATGTGAACTCATTATACCTCTTTTTCTACTTTAAGTTCCAAAACCCATGGCTCTCTGACTTGTTTTTACTTATTGATGAAGGAATGGGAATTTATGATGCAATGAAGGTTTGCAAAGCTGATGTTTCAACGATATGTATTGGTCTCGCTGCATCTATGGGAGCATTAGTTCTAGCTGGTGGCACCCAAGGCAAGAGGTTTTGCATGCCGAACGGTAGAGTCATGATACATCAACCACATGGAACTGCTGGAGGCAAAGTAAGTGCTTACTCCAAAACCATGCTCACTTTTAAATATATTCACTTCATGTAGACTTATATACGCAGAGGTATGTCCCTAGCTTAATGTTGGTAATCTCATTTTGAAACTGGAATTTAAGACCAAAATTTGGTATCTCACATTTTTGCAGACCCCACAATTTTCTAAACGCTATTGCTGACAATTGCAGTGTTTTCTCTGATTCCAGGCATCAGAGATGAGCATAAGGATTAGAGAAATGAATTATCATAGGATTAAAATCAACAAGATATTGTCAAGAGCTACTGGGAAGGCAGTGGAGCAGGTGTGAACTATATACTGCATTCAGTGAGCTCCTAGTTTTACAAATAGATCCAGCGAGTTGTTTGCAAAAAAAAAAAAAAAAATTTGACCTCCTTTTATGCTGCAGATTGAAGCGGACACTGATCGAGATAACTACATGGATGCTTGGGAAGCTAAAGCTTATGGGTTAATAGATGGTGTAATTGATGATGGCAAGCCAGGGCTGGTGGCTCCTATTGCAGATGCTTCCCCTCCGCCAAAGACTCGAATATGGGAATATTGGAAAATTGAAGGGACTAAACAGGCCAAGAAGAGTTTGCCATCAGAGCATAGAATGTTGCAGAAGGCATATAATAATGGCGCTATGGGGGCCGATGAGAAAGAGGGAAAGGAGAAGGATGAGCCTGCTCCTTCAGAGTGAGGACTATCTGAATTGGGTTCATAGGAATGGATACCCTTGTAATGTAGATGCTCTTAAGGCCATTATATTCCTTGCCCTAGAGGCAGCTCTGTTAAGTAAAGGAGGAGTCCCCATTCTATGGTGGTCTTGAACTTCATGAAAGATGATGATCATGAAGTCATATGGCTGACTGAAACATGAAATATAGCAACTTTTGAACTGTCAGTTCTTCTTTCCCCGATACCCATTCATTCCATTGATCAAAATAGTTATAAAGAGCACTCTTTACATATCAACTCCATAATCCTGATGGGGACACTGTCAGTCTCCCCTGCTATTCTTGCCAGCATCCGTGTTCATCTTAAAGATTCCAGATGGCGGCTTCTTCCTCTTCCAGCAAGTATCATTCGAACATAATTTTTTTTTCTTCTTTCTGCTGTTCCGTGCCTTGGAACTTCCGTATACTCCTTTATGAGCTCTTCTTCAGAGGCCATACTTATCACTTTGGCAACCCAACAACAATTAACTAGACAATGCTTCAAAGTCTTCTTCATGCCACAATTTGGGCATTTGGGAATGAGTTAGGATAGCTACTATTTTTTCAGTAACTATCGTGGCTATCTACATTTTCACCCTATATTCTCAATATTTTAAACGGTTATTATGATTAATTAAAGTTAATTTTGAAAATAATGATAATAATAATAATCACACCAAATTGTTATCCTTAAAATATGAGTTTTCATATATATTCTCTTAAATCCTAAATAATTATACCCAACCCTAACAATCCAACGTCTGCCTCCCTTCCTCCCTCTCCCTCCTCGGTGAGCCTCCTCGTGACAGCCCGCCGCCCTTCGCCAACACTCTGACATTCCTCTCTCTCCCCCCACCATGTTGGGGCTTTTGGGATAAGTGTGTACGTACGATAGCTCAAGACTGGGTGGTCAGGATTATGATAGAACCGTGAACTACGTTAACTTTACGTACATAATATTTCCACCCTCTACAAACCTTTGGGTTACTGGAAATTTTTTCATTGGATAAAACTATCATCATTTTTCTTTTGGTTTGTGAAATCCGCATATTTTTCAGTTTTTCTTTTCGCCTAACCTAATCTTTGGAATTCTAAGTTGAATATTTGAAAATTGATGTTATATAAGTGTGTGTGAATTTTCCCTATATGTTGGATCCAAGTATGACATGTTATTTTGGTGTAAAGTTATATGTTATTACTCATATCTTAGATGAGATTTTATATAATTTATAAATGTTTGAACAATATAATGACTTTTGTCATATATCCGGGCCAAAGCGGTCGGACCATTAACCCTTAGCCCACTTGCTTGACCGGGCCAACGGGCTAAACCAAGTTGACAACCTTGTTGGCAAGGGACTCACTGGTTAGGGAAATTTGATTGTGGCTAATTGTCATCCAAACACCACTCCAAAACACTTTGAACCAACAATCTAAAGATTCTAACTCTTTGAATCGTTGAAAACATATTTTAAAATATTTATTGTTTGGTAACTGTGCTTGTTAACATTCAATTTTAATAAAAAAAATTAATTTTATATTAAATAACATGTTTATCCTTAATAAAAAATTAGAGTGGTTCAAGAAATATTAAAAACTTTGTTGATAAATATATTTAATATGATAAATAAATTAAAGAAAAAGAAAAGGTAGGAGAAAAAAATCTCCGAATCAAGATATAGAATCTCTCTGATTATGAGAGATTTGATATCCGTAGATTTTAGAGATTTAAAATCTCTAAAGCTAAAATCCACAATACAAAAAGCAACAAAAAACCATAGCTTTCTACAAAATCTACGGATTCAATAAATTCACGCCCTAAATCCCGTTCTCCAAACGATTAATTCAAACCATTCGTTGCTTCTGTTGGGAATTCTCAAAATGTTAGAGGGGAATGTGACCCTTATAAATTTGCCACCACCAAATCTAGCAACATCCACAATTGTGAGAACCAAAATTCCAATGTTTCTCTCCCATTTTAGTATATTCAGCGAATTCACTACAATTACAACATTCTTCCAACAAAACTTACAAAACTTTTGGTGCATTACAACTACATATGCTCTATTAAGTATTAACTATTAACAAGGTTTCCGCTCAGCTAGATATTAATTTGGAGTTGTTTTTCAGTTTGACAATGCCTTGCAACAAAGTCAAAGAATGTTAAAAGATACAACAAACTAGGTAATTTGCATGCTCATAAAGCAATTAGCAGAACGAATGAGAAAGTGGTGCCAATTAATATATGGACAAAAGTAAAATACTTCATTTGGAAATTCCATCTTAATTACTCTGAATTGCTATAACTAATTCTAATTCTGTAGAATTCAAAATTGAAAATATTTTTTTTAAATATCAAACACAAATAGAATTAATTTTAAAATAAATTTCTCAAAAATTATGAAATTCATTTTATACCAAACTATATGTTAAATAACTAAATATTAACTAAATAGAGAAAAATTAAGTCCAGCTGTCTAGGATCTCTTGTGAGCTAACATTTACCAAGGTTATGCATGTGGAACTCCAACACAACTCATCAACTTTACACAGGAGATCAAGATCTTGCAGACTCAAACGGCAGGTTTCTAATAAGTAAAAACTTGATAATTGTTTCTCACACTAAACTGGGGCTATCCAGCAAATCACAAAGCATATTAACAACTAAGACTCTACTGGAACGTGACTGCCGTTGGCATCTAACGTGGCTGGTGAAAGCTCAAGGGAAACTGGACAATGGTCGCTTCCATAAAAACCTGATACAAAACAAATATCAGCGGAACATTCTGAAAATGATCAGCCTCGCACTCCAAACAAAGATCAGTCGGACATTATTGACAAAGATCAGGGAAGCATTTGTGATCAGCAGAAGCATGCATTTGCTGAGATATTACGCAATCCCCCAAAATCTGAACTTTACTTTTTCTTTCTTAAAGAGGAAGCAAGTAATACCTTCCTGTTCAATTCCACGCCCCCAATGCTCACAGGATACAATCTGATCTTTCAGCTTCTCAGAGACTAAGAAATAATCTATGCGCATCCTTTTGCCTCGATACCTGAAACCGAAAACACCTATTAGGCAGAAAATGAACCAGGCATTCCCCCAACACAAGAAAGTAGCTTACTCTGTGTGTTTCTACTCGTAAAACGCATTATCTTTGCCTAATTGCACAACTAATAACGATTAGGTTGCTGCAATTCGATCCTATTGAGGTTTTCGTGCCAATTGAGAAAGGGGAAAAAATGCAAGAAGTCAAATGACCGCTGAAAGAAGTCAAATTACGGCTGAAGTCAATAACATGAGAAAGGGGGGGAAATGCAAGAAGTCAAATTACCGCTGAAGAAGAATTAGGTAAACTGATATTTTCTTGTGCAGGATTCTAAAGTTACTGATAGATATCATACTAGTAGCTTACTTCCCGATTGGGTTTCCAGACCATGAGAAACCACCCTCCATATCCTTTTCCTTGTGCAAAAATCTGTAGGCGTCAATCAGCTTTCCCCTGTAGAATAAGACTAGGAGGTCAATCACAAAGGTAATGAGGACGATAGGCTTGTTCAAGGTTTCAATTTCCACTTTGGAAGTCCTGAATTTTAATTTAAATAAAACTGTAAATGAATCACGCACTCTCTCATTATGGCACCAAATCGCTTCCTCTCGTTCAAAGTAAACCCAGGCTGGCCGCAATCCTGCAACATTCGAATATTGAATCAAGCAAATTTTAAACTCTTCTAATATCGGAACTGCTCTTTTACTTTGCACCAATGGGCAGTGGCGGATTCAAAAAATTTAAATAGGAGTGTTCTCTTAAAAAAAAATTAAAAATTAAATCAAATAATTATTAAATATGAAAATATTCAACTAGTAAAAGTTCGAATAAAAGTTCAAACATATTCTGTATTATGAAAGAATGGTAAAATACATTCGGTGTATACACTGCTCAACAAATCTCTCGTGACATATCCTACTAGACAAGGGTAACCCGTAATTGGGTTTAATCGTTAGGTTTTGAAAATAATTGGGGATAAGAATAGTCTTTTACTATTATATTTTGATCTAAAACATAACTACAAATGAGTTGTAGTCTAATTGAAACTATATTTACTAATAGTAGCAGTGTTCCCAAGTTCAAATCACGTAGACCCTATTACTTAAATATTATTTGTACCCATATGCAGAATACTATAGGAGGTTGACTAATCATTTTCTATATTTAAGGGTGTTCCACTATCACTAATTTTTTTTTTTACCCATACACAAACTACTATCGAAGGTTGGATAATCGTTTTTCCAAATTTTAGGGGTGTCTCAGGACACCCCTAAACCTCCATGTATCCGCCCTGCTAGGGCTGCAAATGAGCCAAGCCGCTCGCGAGCAACTCGGCGTTCGAATCGGAAAAAACTCGTTCGACACTCGACTCGTTATTTAACAAGCCGGCTCGCGAGCCAACTCGTTAGTTAACGAGCCAAGCCTGAGCTAGACCATGCTCAGCTTGATAAGCTCGCGAGCTAGCTTGATTCGGTGGCTTGTCGAGCTAAGCTCGCGAGCTGCCTTGTTTTGAGCTTGTGGAAGGATGAATTACTCTTTTAAACATGAACATTGTCTTATAATACAGATGTGTATGAAATTTAGATGTTATTTCTAGTTTCTAGTGTTCTTTCTATCATTTAAATTCTTATGTTTATACATTTTTCCAGCAAAAATGATTTTAAATCGAGCTCATCTTGAGCCGAGCTTGTACTCAGCTTAACAAGCTATGTTAATGAGCATTTATCGAGCTCTACCGAGTCGAGCTCGAGCTAGATTATTTTTATTCAAGCCGAGCTCGAGCTCGAGCTGGATTATCAAAATTCGAGTTCGAGCCGAGCTCGAGCTGAAAAATTAATAAACGAGCCGAGCTCAAGCTAAGCAAAAACTCGACTCGACTCGGCTCGTTTGCAGCCCTACGCCCTGCCAATGGGGTCAGGATTTATATGGAAAGCTGTCAGAAGAATAGCCCAAGAAATAGAATATTATATCAATATTACTCAAATCAAATGTCGGGGGTAGTATCATGTTCGTTTCATGACCATCCCTAACCTGTTTCTGTTTCTCCGTCCAAAGAAAATAACAAATGTCTCATGCATGCGGCTAATAGGTGAAGCAAGTTTGCTTTATGAGAAGGCATGTTGCAGGAAATTGTTAAGAGGAACAACAGCTCTAACCTCTTTATTTGGAGGTATGTAACCATTGAGCTTTGCTGCACTGAAAAATTCTGGATGACTCACATCTATGTCTTCATGGCTGCAGAAAGATAGCACCTTATGATTGTCATACCGAAAACAAGAAACATGTAATCTAAATCCGACTATTTGCCAGCACTTCCTTGGAGTAGAAAGGAATGTCGTGATAGGATTTTACATCTCCAGTTCATCTGAAGATGCTTGTGTCGAAGGATTTGGTCACAAATATTTTGAATTAGCACTCAGTGCATCTCCCTAGAGGCACTATGATATGTCAAAGACTACACCAGATTAAGTGAGCTACTTGGTAGCAGCTACTGAGCAAAGCACAGAGCATCACACATTTATGTATGCTAAGCAAAAGTTGGGTCAAGTTCTATATCATGAGACATTATCAGCAGGTTACCCGTTCCCCCTTGTTGTTTGGCTAATGAGACAGCTCGATAGGAAGGCAGAGAGACAGAATATGGGAAAGGAGACATTTAATGACAAGAAAATACAAACCTAACATTCAGATCGCCACACCATATCAGAGGCTTGTCTGATGATTTAAGAACAAACTCCTGCAACCTTTTATCCCATTTTCTTCTCCTCTGAAATGAGTTTTCCTCCTCTTTCCATCCATTATTTGGTGAATATGTATTTAATAGGCGAAATGTCTCAAATTCAGCTAGAATAACTCGGCCATCTGGTTCATGCTTTGTACCTAACATAAATTGAGACCAACCACTATGCTTAATATAATGGATTGGATGAGAATGAACTAAAGGTGCGGACATCAACTTCCTCTAAAAAAGTAACTAGTGTACTCATCCAAAAAATGGGAAAAGAAAAGTAACTGTAATTTTTTTTCTCGAAAAAAGAATACCCAGGCATGGATTACAGTAGCAGAGACCATACAGATTCTACCAAAGAATGTTCCACAACTACTCATCAAGCACTCGTATGTGGTAAATTCTTTTGTCTTAGACATTCTAAAATATACCCTTCAGTTCTCCGACTGTTTTACCTGCTCTACTATTTACATCTGCTCGTCACTTGTAGATGGAGCAGAAATAGCAGAGTTCAGGTTACTGAGGGATAAGTTTAGTAATCTCCAAAACAATAAAAATTCAAGTGGAAGAATAGATATTGTCTAATAGAACAAAATGGAAACGAATACCTGTTCTATCAAGTGAAAAAGAGACCTTTACAGGCTGACAACACTTCTTTACCAACAAGGCTGTACCAGCATACTTTGAGTCACTGAGGGACCACCAAACACGATAACTTCCAAATGGCGGACTAGAAAGGGCACGCATCAGTATCTGCAGAATGGGGAGAAGAATGAGAGAGCCTTGAGCATGAAACTAAACAAGACTGTCAAGACATTATTATTCAAGGAGCCCATCATGAGTCCCAGGATCTTGCATGTTCCTCACAAGATAATAATAATAATAATAACAATACTTATATACATAGGGTTTAAGTTCAAGTCCCATGGACAGGGGTAGAACGAAAGAACACTCAGAAGATTGGATCAACTTGAACAAGACAATCTATACTGTTTAAGTGGTTTGCAGAACCCAGTAATTCTTAAAACCGCACTATGGTTAACAGACAGGATTATATAATGCAAGCGCCCTAACTGGACACGGGAGTTTACAACTGGAAACTCGCCAAGCAACAGACTAAGGTAACTCACGTAGGGTGAAAGAGCAATAAAATTTACCTTTTTTTCCTCCCGTGATGAGCTTGTATCATCTTTCAACTCCCCTGGGTTTTTGGGTGTACCTTTTGAACCAGCAGCAGGCATTCTTACTTCCTATTATTAATGCAAAATGTTAGAGATTGTTGTTCTCATGTCTACTACAGCCACATATAGTTCAGAAATATACAATAGATTGCAATGGCAGCATAACCACAACTTTGGTTCACATATATGATTTTGTCCTCCAAGTATGATCGTTTTTCTCAAGTGAATACTTCATATTCAGTTTTGCTCTGCCTTTCCAAGAGGGAGAAGTTATCATTTGATTCATATAGCTATCGAAGTCTTAAAATGAAGGAATCTTGGTTGAAAGACAACTCAAATAACCCCTAGCACAAAATTCACCATTGCTACGGGAAACCCTCAATGCAGAAGGCTCCGAATGCTTCCCAAGGCACGAGAAAAGGAAAAACAAATGGTGTCCTGCGTGAAAACCTAGTCCAAATTCAGCTTTTCCCCCAAAAAAAGCTATTGAACTGTGACAAATAGGAAGAAGCACCTGGATGGCGATAACATCAGGGTCGATGCGGGAGACGAATATGCAGAACTCAGGCCAGTTGTTTTTTACGCGAAGAAGGAAGCTATTGGCATTCCACGTTACGAATTTCAACGGCTGCTGGTTCTGATTCGCCAGCCCAACTCCCGAGTCAGCTGCCCCATCTGGCTGTTCACCATTGCCTTGTTGTTCCAATGCAGGTTTCTTCGCAGACCCATCCTTCTCTATCGGCTTAAAGAACCGCTTCATTGTTGAAGGGACACTCTCAACTCACAAGAACTTGGAAAACCGTCTCAGATCAATAACCCAGCTGCTAGCAGCAGCAGTGATATACTGATATGCGTCGTAATAGAGCGGAAGGTAGGACTAGGATCTGGCCTCCTCGTTAGAATTTGCGCTCAAGTGTTGAGGTATATCTACACGGAGCACTTCCATTATGCTATATAGTATTGGTACTTTAATGTACAACTCAAAGTTGTACCGTAACATTAAATGTATAAGTTTAGGTTGTACCATAACAGTGATATCCGTCGTAATAGAGCGGAAGGTAGGATCTGGCCTCCTCGTTAGAATTTGCGCTCAAGTGTTGAGGTATATCTACCACATACCGCCAAGGTTAACAATGTACACTACTTAACAATCACTTAAATACCTAATGAAGGAGAAAATACTGTCCAGATAAGTCAAGAGCAAGATAGTCGGTGTTGGTACAGTCGAGAAAGAGGGTTGAGTGTTAATAATCCGACCGCTTTAATTCGGTTGAGTAAGAATATATGAAAAAATCATTATATTGTTCATACATTTATAAATTATTTCAAATCTCATCTAATATATGAGTAATAAAATATAACATTACACCAAAATAATATGTTATACATGAATTCAACATATAGTGAAAATTCGCAAACACTTAAACAACATCAATATTCAAATGTTCGAGGGTGCGGATAGTATAACAATACCCTTAGTGTTGTTATACTAACAACATGACTCATTAAGGGTATAAGGGGAAATTTATCTAAAATCTAATAAAATAAAAATTAAATTATATTTAGCCTACCCACCCCGTCCCCTTCACACTCTCGTTGGATCTCAGTTCTTCTTCGATCTTCCCACTCTCCTCGGCCCCCAACGCAACAGCTTCACCGCCCACCTCCACCGCATCCAACGAGATTACGGACATCATCACCAACTGAGGAGTTACCGAGCGACGACGGCGATTCCGGAGAAGATGCGGCGGCGTTGGATGCCATTGATGTCGCTAAATTTGGGAGAGAAGGGGGATGGGAGCAGTGCGGTGGCAATTTCTCAGGTCAAGCGAGAGGTGGCGGTGCTGGACGCACTGTTTTGGGTTTGTGGACTTCGAATCAGCTAGCTCCATGGAGAAAGCCCTTGAGGGTTTTTTTCTCATTTAGTGAATCCGGACAGGTTTTTGCATTTGGGGGGATGGGGAAAAAGAAACAATGAGGGCCGCTTGGCTAGCTTTCCCTAAACAATGAGCGCCAATGGAGGTTGTTCGCCTGTTCCCGTGACGGAACTGTCGGAAATTCGGATTCTACCGCTGCTAGAGGGTACGTGAACGGAAGCAGCAGAAGGCTCCGCAACCATGGCGGCACCGGCTGCAGATGACTTCATTGAGGCTCCTATGTTGCCTCGCTGCAGTTCGTATCTCTCAAATTCCTAGAGATTCGCAACAATGGTGGTACCAGCTGCGGCCTGTGTTGTGGAAATTCATTCCAAGGCTTTCCGCGGACTAAGAGTCTATGCTTCAATTGCTTTTCTTCCTCTCCATCTCGTTTCTTTCTTTCATTAGTACTCCAATTGAATTTGTTTTTTCTAATGACAATTTGAATGGACAGTGAAGAGAATCATTGATCCTGGGAAAGCTATTTTCAAGTTTTAAGTGGTCATATGAGATGTGTTGTTTAATTTTGTGGTATATCTATTGAGATGTGTTGTTTAATTTGTGGTATATCTATTGAGATGTGTTGTTCAATTTGTGGTATATCTATTGAGATGTGTTGTTTAATTTTGCTAATTATAGAGTGTACTTGTGGTCATATGTAGTTTGGTGTCAAATGGGGTTGTAGCCTTGTAATAATTTTGTATTTATTTGTTAGTTATCAGCACCATAAACCGCCTAATATAAATTATAAACGCAATAAAAACAACCACAAAATGCATACCAGAAACCTCATAATGCAAACCAAAAATCCCCTAAAACATACCAGAAACCCCATAATGCACACCACAAATATTCCGAAAGCACACAACAAACCCCCTAATGCAAACCACAAACACGGTAAAGCAAACCAAAAACGTCCTAATGCATACCACAAATATATTAAAACAAACCAGAAACCTCGCAAAGCAAACCACAAAAGTTTTGAAAGCACACTAGAAACTTCTTAATGCAAACCAGAAACCTCCTAATACAAACCACAAATCTCCTAAAACAAACCACAAACCTCACAAAGCAAACAACAACATTTGCGAAAGCACACCAGAAACCTTCTAATGCAAACCACAAACACAGTAAATCAAACCACAAAAAAGCAAACAATAAACGTCCTAATGCAAACCGCAAATATATTAAAACAAACCAGAAACCTCATAATGCAAACCACAAAGTTTTTGAAAGCAAACCAGAAACTTCTCAATGCAAACCACAAACACGATAAAGCAAACCAGAAACTTCTTAATGCAAATCACAAACACGATAAAGCAAACCACAAAAGGCATACGAAAATATGAGAAACCAAACCATAAATCTCACAATGTAGACCATACATCCGGTCTTCGTTGACCGTTGACCCGGTCAACGAAGACCGTTGACCGAACTCCGGTGACCGTCAGTGAGCAGATTCCGACGCCGATAGGCATATTCCGGCCTCGATGACTAGATTCCGACGCCGGTAAGCATATTCCGACACCGGTAAGCATATTCCGGCGACAAATAGCATATTCCGGGGACAAAAAGCATATTCCGGTGACCGGCGACCAGTTTCCGGGGACCGGTGGCAGAACTCAGGCGACCAAATTTTTGGGCAGAAAATAAAAAAATATTTATTATTATTTTTATTATTTAAACAGATTTTTCATAATGACAATTATACCCCTGCTTTGATTTTACATTAGGTCAACTCATCTAATAAAAAGTCATCACAATCCTAGCTTCCTATTGGTTGGAGACTAGTGTTGTTACAATAACAACACAAGGGGTGTTGTTATAGTAACCGGTCCCAATGTTCAACTTAGAATTCCAAAGATAGGGTTAGGCGAAAATGAAAACCTAAATATGCGCATTTCGCAAACCAAATAAAAAAGCGACACTATGTGATCTCCAACCTGGTAACCTTGCAGCAAGTCCACCCGACGGGTGTGTGCGACCCATTTTCTCAACTGGTCAGAGTCAGAATATGTTAACCGGCGGGTCGACCCAATGATTGACAACCTTGGTAAAGAGGCTGTGAACTTCTAAAAGGGGTTGTTGGGGAAAAAGAACTTAAAAGTTAAAGGAGATTTATGTGGTATGATGAGGAAACTTATATATATTAAGCTTTATACTTGATTCACACTAACTACCACTTCTAAATCGAAGGCCAAGCATAACTGATGACCGGGTGTAGCATAAGGTAGGTAAGTATACAATTATCGAATTCACGGGTCTCCAGATGTATCGTTACTTCAACTAGGTTCGTTATCTAGCCAAATAAGAATAGTGATTGGGAGACTAAGATAACTAGGCTACTCCAACCACTCCCCTAACTAATTCCAAGATGGGAGCTCACTTAGGCATAAATCCCCATAATCCCTTAATTTGGTCAATGTTGAGTACCACCCTAGATTAGTTTACTCAATATTTCTATCGCGGAGAATTCTAGACTAGGTTGGACTCCTTATTTGAGTTATCCAAACCCGCTCAATTACACTACCTAGAGCGGCATACTGTACAACCTACCTATGCCATTGAGGTGTTCACAACCAACTCCCTTGCTTCTTGGCTCCTCCTTCTTCTCCTTCATTTAGCTTCTCTCTCTAGCTTCTTTCTTAAACCAGAATTTTCCAAGTGATTTCTGCTCCCTTGTGAAGGGGAAGGGATCTCCTATTTATAGAGTATAGGTTGTCGGGCAAGTTCACGGCTGTACAAGGGAAGATCACGACTGTGATCTTTGTAGAAGAGGCTGCCAGTTTACACCTTGTTGGATCTCCTATTAATTTCAACTCAAGTCTTTTTTTAATTCCTCCTATGTATCTTCTTCTCCCCTTTATGGGGGCTGTCTCTAAGGTACCAGGGGTCTAATCCCCAAACCCTAGAATTAGATTTTTGAATGTAGATGGAATTTTGTTAGGGTTTGTGCATGGAAATTGTTTGCTTAGTGATTATATGCTTCATCTATGAATAATTATGCATGGCTTGTCTCTCCAACTCTTTTCATCTAGCCTATTACTTAGGACTTAATGACCTAGACTGGATTTGAGCGCCTTAAGCTACGTTCATTCAATACCCTACCACGTTAAGACTACATCAATAGACCATACCACTGTAAATAAAGTGAAGGGTGAAAAGACAAGTGTGAGGCATCCTATCCATGAAAAAAATCGGGGTTTGGAAGAGATACTAGTTGAGTCTTAGTGGGGTAGGCCTACTAGATGATGCTAGTTCCTCTCTAGTACAAGAAAAATTTCCACCCTTGTGATGGGATTGCCAACTTGAGGATGTGTTTTCAAGGGCATGGATAAAGCGTCCGACACCCCTTAACTTCATTAACCCTTCGAACGATCGATGAAAAGGAGTTAAAAACTGCTCTTGCTCGATCAAGGCTTCCTAAGTACCAAAGAACGATGCAAAATAAACTCCCTTTTCCGCATAAAAAGAGCAAGAAAAGTGCTATGTAGCATGGCAAGATCGTATTCATACGAAAAATAATTCAAAATACTTATGTGGGCAGGAATGCAAATACCTCCTAGTCAAGCTACATAAGCTCTGCCTCAAAAAGTTGATACTGGGCAAAGCACGGTCGAGGGCACGACCGTGTTTTGCTTCTGCCCGTTTGTGCCCTTGCCACGTGTTAAAAACACGCCCGCGTCGTCAAAAAACACGGTCGTGCCTGAAGATGGACACGACCGTGTTTTGCTTCACATCCGCCCGTGTTTTAGACATCACAGAAGCTCCCTTCAATCAAGCCTCGGCATAAAAAACACGGCCGTGTTCTTCTGTAGGCCAGCCCATGTTTTGCTTTTCCATCGGTTCAGCTCTCGCACATAAAAACACTGGCGTGCTCATTTGTGTACACAGTCGTGTTCGTCAGGCCTCGTGCCCGTGTTTTGCCCCCAGCTCTACCGAATGACCTCCAAACGCCCCGAATCTTGTGCTTAGCCTTTCCTTCGACGTTTGGGACCTGAAATATGACAAAGTAGCACAACCCAGCGTAAAACGGGCCAAAAATACACGACTATGAGCCGCAAACGGATAAGAACTAAGGGTGAAAACATGTGCAAATACATCGTTATCAAATTCCCCCACACTTAACCGTTTGATTGTCCCCAAGCAAACCAAGTCAGACACAAGGTAAGCTCAAAGTGTTTTAATCAAGCAGGCTTTAGGGACATATCATATCGGCACAAAACACGTGAATCATACTGGCTTTTGATCATTAACACATGGACAACCTCAAATACAACCTAGACAACCACCACAGATGACATTCGAAAGCAAAGTCGAGCAAAAGAAGAGTCTCCCTTCTGTCCAGCAACCAACATAGACTTGACTCAACCACTTATTCAAGACAGTCACTTCATGCACAAAGCTCAAGATATCAGAATTAAGACCGAGCAATCTAGGTCCTCACCGGGGTAAAGAGTATAGAAAATATGAGGAAATAAATTGCTCACTCTCGACTAGTGGGGTCAGGACAGAATTTTGATGCAAGATGTGCATACTCATACTCTCAATTCCTAACATCTCTTCACCATGACGACAACCTCTAAATGTTAGAGTTCACATATCGGGTGTCACCACTAACTAATCCGGAGGTCTTAGACACAGGTTCAAATGACTGGCTAGGGTCTTGGACATGGGTAAAAAGCCTTTTAGGTGGTGGAAGTATTCATAGCACAAGGTTCTACAGTTCCAAACCTAACACAATGACAGTCAAACAAACCAATAACTTCCTTTCTGCCATTCTGCATTACTCAAATTCTTTAGAGCACAAGAGCAAAGGAGGTCACATAAATGCTAGTAGTTCCAAGCCAGACTGCTAAGAAACACTACTTAACGAGCATGATTCATAATTTTGGGTAGTGGCTCTCTTTTGCTTTCATTCATTTTTTTTTTCATTTTCTTTCTTGAGAGAACCACCACCTCTGCACATTTTTCAAACACATGCCCGTGTTTTAAGCATTACCTCCAACCCTCACATTAAATTTAGCACAAACAACATAGAACATGCAAAAACCACTCTGTGGAACCTTCTAAAAGATGCGAAAGGGTGATTTTCCATTGTAGACCGAAAGGAAGAAAAGTACACGGCTCAAAGGGCTGACTAGGGGGTATGACACACCAGGACAGTCAATTTGGTCGTGAGCTAATCCTATGGCTCCATCATCTTAGCTAATGGCAACATGAATGCTGCACATCATGGAAGAGGGAACTATCTCACAAGAAAGAAACGAGCAGGCTCAAATCTCACATGGCTACCTATATGCTCTATCTCTCATTCTGATTCCCTGAACTAGATGCATAAACGACTGTCAAGAGCAAGTGATCAATCCAAGTCACAGTTGGTAAGCAAACAGTTGAAAAACTAACCCCTACACAATTCTACTGCACGTCTCAGTCATCATTATAGGCTGTCCTAGTTACAATCAAGTTGTCATGCATTAATTCGAAAGCCATTCGATTCAAGCAAACAACAATACTTGGAGCCCTCAAATCTCGAGATTTGGACAGCGGACTAGGCTCCAAGCACACATATATATGTTCCAATGAATACAAAGAACCCCCCCCCCCCACACTTAAATGCGACAGTGTCCTCAATGGAGCAGAGGGAAGGGGAACGATGTTACCGTGAAATGAGATCAGGAACGGGGACTGGAAGGAAGACCAGTCAATAGCAGGGGACTGGAAGGGGGACCAGTCCAAGGCACAGAGCTAAAGTCATCAAAAGACACACACTGGGTGAAAGAATCGGAGTTCGAAGTCTACAATCCAAAAGAAACAACAAAAACATGGAGTCTCAGCCTGGGAAAGAAACGAAGTGCAGAACAAGCCACTCGCCACTAGAACGCATCACCACCATCGCCGGTGGGTGGAGGGTACTCGTCCTCATACCCCGGTGACTGCACGAAGGGGTACTGGACCGAGTTCGGGTCCAGGCCCAGGTAAGACATGATGTAGTTCTGGCCGGACATAAGACGACGGTCGCGGTCCCTCTCACGATCGAGGTGGGTGTGAATGCTCTCCTGGCCGGCCAGAATGCGCTCGTTCTGCTGAGCAATGGCCGCCAACTGGTCAGCAATGGAGACCCCGGGAGTGGAAGACCCGGGAGCAGCGGAGGGGCTCATGGGGTCCTGGGCACGAAGAACAGTACGGTGGCGAACCTGGCGCTCCCCAGCAGCGTTCGACTCTGGCTGGTCGTCCCCGGCAGGTTTAGGTGCAGGCGGCCGAGGGAGACCCGCAATCCATGCCAAACGCCCCTCACGGCAAGCATGTGCTGATGTCGGAGGGTGGCCTCACTGAATGGGGTCGGTGCTCGGACCATGGTCATCCCAGTGGTGTCGATCCCGTAGTAGCGGTCCACGGCGGTGATCACTGGGCCACAGACAAGATGGCGATCCTGGCTGGCGCAAGGCTTGGTGAATGTCAGGGCGAGCACAGAGCCCAGCTCGATAGTGTCTTCAGAGCGACCCATCGAGTGCATGAAGTACAGGGTCCGGAGGGTGACCCGGTTGGCCTAGCCCCAGCTGGGAGTGTAGGACTGGGTGAGCAGGTGGTTGAGGATCCGCCACTCCGGGTGGAGGAGAGTGACTCGCGTCTAGTTGGCGATGTACTGCTCATCTGCATAGTCCGGTAGGCAGATGTGCTGGAAGTAGGCCTGGTCACCAAAGTTGGTGGGATATGTCACCTCCACGATCAAGGGGCAATCGCTGGGGTGTGGGGAGTTGAGCCGAAGTGCAGTGGCCAACTCCTAGTAACTGATAGAGTGATCCACCCGCCGAGTGTGAAATGTACCGCATCAGCATGGTCGGCCGACCTCCTCTGGGAGTGGGAAAAGGAGGCGTAGAACTCCCAGACGAGCTCCTGGTAGGTCGGCTCGGCGAGGCAGAGAAGGCGCCGCCAACCATAGGCGCGAACATCGGCCTCCATCTGTGGCCGGGCATGAAGCGCCTCGAACACCCCAAAGTCGAGATTCAGGTGCTCGGCGATATGGCGGGTACGGATGGTCCGCAGCAGGTGGCGTTATGTGATGCTCAATTGGTCGAGGTAGGCCTCCATGGTCCTGCAAAGAAAAAGGATGTACAAATGGAACACAAGCGAACAGGGTCAATGTTAGCCGAAAAGCACACCGGGAGCCCTCACATCGAAAGATATGGACTAGGCTACCGGTGAAACAAGCATACCAATCACAACTAGAATCACACAAACAAACACACCGGGGGCCCTCAAATAAAGCGATTTGGGCAGTGGACAAGGCCCCCGGTGGAACAACACATAATCCTATCCCAAATATCCACTAATCGATCATTTATCACACATAGGCCACACAAGCACGCATACAATGGCAACATGCAAATGATATGCCGAGGAACTGAAATCTCGAGACAAAAATATAATAAGCATAGAGCGCCATCGGCCTACCAAATCATTCTCAAAGCAGGCCATAATCCCAAATTCTTCACCTAACTCTAGGTATCAATTCTCCAAAAATAAAATAAGAACCATGAAAACACACCTGGAGACGCAAGAAGATACCACAAGGCTGGTGAAGAAAAGGGAAGAAAACACTCCAAAGTCGCCGGAAAACCCACTGGAGACTCGCCGGAGAACTCGCCGCCGGCGACCCAACCGTCGCCAAACAAACCCAAACTTCTGGGAAATGTGCTCCCCGTCGCCAGGAGCGTAGGGGTGGTCGCGGTTTGTGATTTGGAGGTCAGGAGAAGAAGTTGTGGCCGAAAAACCACCAAAGAAGATGGAGGGGCCGAATTTCCAGCGAGGGAGGCAGTTAGGATTTGAAAAAAATGAGGTTTGAAGGGGGGGAGGGCCGAAAATGAACTTTTATAGGGGGGCCATTAAAACACGGGCGGGCTGAAACACGGCCGTGTTTCCCGTGCTCCGCGCCCGTATTTTTTAGGCCGAGAGCGTGCTTCCCCCTTTTGAAAACACGGGCGGGTTGGGTCCAAAACACGGCCGTGTTTTTGCACCCCTTCGCCCGTGTTTTTTATGCTGAGAGGGCAATCTTCAACAGGCCAAAACACATGCGGGCAGGGGAGGAAACACGGCCGTGTTTTTCTCCCATGGCGCCCGTGTTTTTTATGCCGAGCCCACCTCTGCATTTTTTCAAAATCACAATTTCAAATCACCAAAGCTCGATCGTGCCCTGGCTCGAAATAATACCTAGTCACAGATTAAAATAAACCTCCCAAGGCACGAAATACTTTCCAGACAGGCTCAAAGACTCAAAAACGACAAAAATGAAAAGGAAAAAAGGGCAGAAATGCAAACCGTGGTGGGGTTGCCTCCCCACAAGCGCTTCTTTACCGTCTTTTAGCTGGACGCTAGTAGAGGAACTAAGGGTCATCCAGCTTGATCAGCAGCTCTGCACGCTCGACAGCACCTCCAAAGTACAACTTTAGGATGTGGCCATTCACCTTGAATGGCTTAGTTTGAGCATTGCTGATCTCCACCGCCACGTGCGGGAATACTTGGGTGACCGTGAAGGGTCCCGACCACCTCGAACGTAGCTTGCCCGGGAAGAGTTTCAGGCATGCATTGAAGAGCAGAACACGATCACCTACCTGAAACTCCTTTGAGCCCCTCAACCGAGCGTCGTGGAGACGCTTGGTTCGCTCTTTGTAGAGCAGGGTGTTCTCGTAGGTGAGGTAACGCCATTCCTCCAACTCCAGCAGTTGCAACTTACGTTCAGGACCTGCAACACTCAAATCCAGGTTTAGCAGCTTAAGGGCCTAGAAGGCCTTGTTCTCTATCTCTACTGCAAATGACACGCCTTCCCATAGACAAGCCTATAGGGGTAAGTGACAATCGAGTTTTTATACACCGTCCTATATGCCCAAAGGGCATCATCGAGCTTGGTGGACCAATCCTTGCGGTACTGATCCACCGTCTTTTCAATTATTCGTTTAAGCTCCCGGTTCGTCAGCTCGGCTTGCCCATTTGACTGGGGATGGTAAGCCACTGACACCTGATGCTTAACACCATAGCGAGAGAGGAGTTTAGTGAATTGCCCTTGAAAATGGGTTCCTCTATCACTAATGATGGCGCAAGGTGTCCCGAACCGGGAGAACAGTTGCTTCAAAAATGAGCAAACCCGTCTTGCATCATTGGTGGGCATGGCTTGAGCTTCTGCCCACCTCGAGACGTAGTCCACTGCAACCAGTATGTACAAATTGCCAAAGGATGGAGGGAATGGGCCCATGAAATCGATGCCCCAAACATCAAAATTTTCACAAATGACAGAAATATGTTGGGGCATCTCATCCCGGGAAGAAATGTTACCTGACCTTTGGCAGCGGTCGCACTGTCGTGCGAAGGTGTCTGCATCCTTGAAGAGCGAGGGCCAATAGAAGCTCGACTATAGCACCTTCCGCGTCGTGCGGTTGCCTCCATGGTGACCTCCAGTAGGTCCCTCGTGGCATTGAGACAGGATGTCTCCCATCTCGTGCTCCATGACACAGCATCGGATCACGCCATCTGCTCCGATCCTGGAGAGGTAAGGATCCTCATATAAGTAATGCTTCAGGTCAGAGAAGAACTTGCGCTTTGCATGAGTGGCCATCCCCTTTGGTAACTGCTTGCCCACCAGATAATTGACAAAGTCAGAATACCAAGGGGCCACGCTGTCCACCAATGTCATTGCCAGCAATCGCTCACCCGGGAAAGAGTCATCGATCTCCTCCACGAAGTTGTCCACCGGAGGGGCTTCCAACCGTGAAAGATGATATGCAGCAACATTCTCGGCTCCCTTTTTGTCCCGGATCTCTATATCGAATTCCTGCAGAAGAAGGATCCAGCGGATGAGTCTAGGCTTTGCATCAGCCTTGCTCATCAAGTAGCGAATCGCCGAGTGGTCTGTATAGACCACCACGTGGGAGAGCACCAGATATGGTCGGAACTTATCAAATGCATACACCACAGCGAGGATCTCCTTCTCAGTGGTGGTGTAATTCTCCTGTGCGTCGTTCAAGGTCTTTGACGCGTAGTAGATGGGCTGGAAGTGCTTCCCGCGTCTCTGACCTAGAATGGCTCCGACTGCATAGTCACTCGCATCGCACATCAGTTCAAAGGGAAGAGACCAGTCAGGAGTCACCATGATGGGTGCATGGGTAAGCTTCTCCTTCAATGTCTCGAATGCCGCTGTGCACTCAGGAGTGAACTGGAATGGTGCATCCTTCTCCAGCAGCTTGGTCAGAGGCAGGGCAATCTTCGAGAAATCTTTAATGAAGCGTCGGTAGAAGCCTGCATGACCCAGGAAGCTGCAAATCCCCTTCACAGAAATGGGAGGAAGTAGCTGACTGATCGTCTCAATCTTCGTGCGATCCACCTCAATCCCCTGCTTGGAGATCTTGTGCCGGAGCACAATCCCCTCATGTACCATAAAATGGCACTTCTCCCAGCTGAGTGCCAGATTAGTCTCCTCGCACCTCTTCAGAACGAGTTCCAGGTTATGGAGACAATGAGTGAAGGAGTCGCCATAAACCGAGAAGTCATCCATGAAGACTTCCATGATCTCTCCGACTAGTCGGTCGAAGATCGCCAGCATGTATCTCTGGAAGGTCGCCGATGCATTACATAGTCTGAATGGAATCCTCCGGTAAGCAAAAGTACCAAAGGGGCAAGTGAATGTGGTCTTCGCCTGATCCTCTGGTGCAATAGGAATATGAAAATAACCAGGCATGCCATCCAAGAAGCAATAAAATTCATGGCCAGCCAACCTCTCCACCATCTGATCAATGAAGGGTAGGGGAAAATGGTCTTTCCTGGTGGCATCGTTCAGGCACCGGTAATCAATACAGACTCTGTAACCGGTCACGGTCCGCATCGGGATCAGCTCTTTCTTCTCATTTGGAACCACAGTCATCCCGCCTTTCTTCGGGGACCACCTGAGTGGGTCTAACCCACTTGCTATCAAATATAGCAAAGATGATCCCTGCATTCATTAGCTTCACAATCTCTGCCTGGACCACTTCCTCCAAGTTGGGAGACAATCTCCGCTGTGGCTGCCTGAATGGCTTAACCTCATCCTCCATCAGAATTCTGTGGGAGCAGAAGGATGGGCTAATGCCTCTAATATATGGGATCTTCCATGCCATGGCCCGGGCATACTTCTGCAGCAGACCACCAGCCTGCTCTTCTGCTCGGGTGTCAGATCCGAGTTGATAATGACCGGGAGCTTATTCCCCTCCCGGAGAAATGCATACTCCAGGTGAGAGGGGAGGGGCTTAAGCTCTAGCTCTGGCGGCTCCTCCAATGATGTAGCGATCCGGGGCGAGATAGGGATCGGCTTGAATGGTATCTCTCGTCCCTCGATCGCGGCCTCGTCTATCTCCGCGAGCTGCTCCTCCAGCTGCACATCATGTGATGCCCGTTCCCCTAGCAAAAGACAACGCTCAAGGAAATCGTCAGTACCCACACTCGTTATGGCGAGTGCGGTCTCAAAATCAGCAACAACATCACAGTAGTCTAGATCATCATGGAGCAGGGGGTGTTTCATATTATCATAAACAGAGAAGGTGATTTGTTCACCCCCCAACTCTCAAAATCAATTTCCCATCATTCACATCAATGAGCGCCTTGGCGGTGGCGAGAAAAGGTCTACCCAATATTAAAGGCACATCCACACCCTCATTTATGTCCAAAATCACAAAATCAACAGGATATGAGAATGACCCTACTGCGACTATCAAGTCCTCTGCAATGCCCTTAGGATGCACAATGGATCTATCAACAAGTTGAATGCTCATCCTAGTATCACTGGGTTCACCTAGGCCAAGCTTTTTAAACAGTTTATATGGCATGACATTTATGCTAGCGCCTAAATCCGCCAAGGACTTCCCTATATGCAAACTACCAATCATGCAAGGGATAGTAAAACTCCCTAGGTCTTTTCGCTTCTCTGGTAGTTTGTTCTGCAGGATGGCAGAACACTCTTCGTTGAGCATCACCGTTGACAGCTCCCCAAGCTTCCTCTTGTTGGTGAGGAGATCCTTCATGAACTTGGCATACTTGGGCATCTTCGATAATGCCTCCACGAAGGGCATGCTTATGTTTACCTGCTTCAGCATTGCCATGAACTTGGCAAACTCAGTCTCGAGTCGGTCTTTGTGCAACCGAGTAGGAAAGGGAAGCTGCGGTACATACTCCTTCACCACTGGTTGCGGTTTAGGAGCAGGCACCTCAACCTCCTTCTCCATTTCCTCCTCATTAGCTGGAAGTGCTGAAGCAGGGGTCTCTCTCTCTTGTGCCTGAACAGGTGGATCAGCAGTCATCTTGCCACTCCTAGTAGTGATGGCCTTGCAGTGCTCATTTGGGTCCTGTGGATGGGGGATGGTCTGACCGGGTAGAGTACCAGGAGTCCTCTGAGCTACAGCCTGAGCCACACTCCCAAGTTGGGTCTGGATGTCTCGCAGCACAGCCTGCGTGTTTCTCTGGCTAGCTTCTAGCTCCAAGAATTTACTTGAAGCTTTCTCCATGAACTGCTCGATATTAGTGAACTTGTTTGCACTGGAGGTGGCAAGAGAACCCACCAGATCTCTCAATTTCGCTATCGGGTCACTCTGTAATGGGGCTGCGGGTGTTGCCCATGTCTGATGAAATGGCCGCACCTGTGACTGAGGTGGAATTGGCCCCTGTCTGGGCGGGTAGAGTGGCTACTGCGGCTGCTGAAATTGCCCTTGTCTGGGCTGGTAAGGAGGTCTCTGGAAGCCAGGTGGTCCTTGGGGGACTGGTGGTCTAGAATTGGCCCCAACCTAGGAGAAGTTGGGATGCTGGCGCCACCCCTCGTTGTAAGTGTTGCTG